TTCACTGAGCCAGTTATCTGGGACTGCTTTTTAGTCTCTTTGAAAGCCTGTTGCCCACTTCGGTGTCTGGCCTGAATCCTTTTGACTACCTCTTAAACCTTTGACATGTATTTTTTCTTTATGTTTTTATTAGCATATCCTACTAATATATAATGGGTATCATTGTATCATTTTCATACATGTGCATAATGTGTATTACTATCTCTTGACCCTGTTTTCCCCTCAGATATTTGGTTGACCTCGCTAGGGAAGCCACTTTGGCCCTGCACTTTTTCTTATTTTGAAGTTTTTGATTATAGATTCATACTCTGCTGGCTATCTGTTTCTTCTGCAGTCTGTCCTGTAGCTAGTATGTCTCAGAAATGTGGCTTTTTATTCCAGATTATCTCATTTGCAAGCATATAAGAACTATCTTAGAATATTCAATTTTTTTTTAGTAACTATGAAAGAATCTGAGTCAGTACAGGACACCCCAAGACCAAGTTCTCAGCACAAAGGAGATTTATGTGCCCCAGAGGGGCAGAGGGCAGGAAATAAGAGACAAAGACAGAAGACAGAGGAAGAGGGAGAAGGGGAAGGGAACAAGGGACAAGGGGAAGGGATGTTTGCCCCAGAGGGACAAAGGGCTGCCTCTGGATGGAGAGGAGACAGACTTGGGCAAATGACAGTTTATAAAGGGAAAAGGGGACCCCCCCCCCCCCCACACACACCTGTGTTAGGATGAGTTGTTTTTAATTAGGGTAACCAAAAGGGGGCTTTTGATTGCTGGACCTTGTGGTCAGCCTCAGGAGGAGGAAGTGGCAAATAAGGGAATGGACCTGGTGGCTCTCTTTAGGACTGTAATCTAACAGTCGGCAAGGGAGAGGAAGGGGGAGGGCAAGACCTGCCGGAGCCATGCTTGCCAGCCTTGGGCCTACTAGAGCTCTTCAAACGCCATCATTTTCAATTTAGTTCAATTGCCTCTCAGTTTGTCAAATTTGACTTGGTTTCATTCACTATTATTAGTGTTTGGTGTTTTTTTTTGTTGTTGTTGTTGTTTTCTTGATCTAGTCTACTATTCCATCCTTCTCTTAGCATTGGGTTTAGTTTGCTCTGTTTCTGGTGCCTTAGTATATAGTTAGGTTGTTGCCTTGTGATCTTGTTTAACATAGACATTGACTGCCATAAATTTTCATCTAAACTTTTACTTTACCTCTTAGATTTTGCTGTGTTTTGCTTTCATTTAAGTTTATCTTACAGTGTTTTCTAATTTTTGTAATGATTTTCTTTTTCAACTCATTGTGACTTTTTCCCACTGTTCCTTCTGTGGCTGATTTTAGCTTCATTCTATCCTGGCTAGAGAATGGGTTAGGTATTGTGCATGTCAGTTGTATGTTCTGCCATTGGGATATCATGTGCCTGGAGATCTCATTGATTGTGTGACTCAGGCCTTTGACTTTCTTGTTGATCCTCTGTCTAGATCAGCGTTCTCAACATATGGGTTGCGACCCCTTCGGGGAGTTGAACGACCCTTTCACAGGTGTCGAATATCAGATAACCTGCATATCAGATATTTACATTACAACTCATAACAGTAGCAACATTACAGTTATGAGGTAGCAATGAAAATAATTTTATGGTTGAGGGGTCACCACAACATGAGGAACTGTATTTAAGGGTCACAGCATTAGGAAGGTTGAGAACCACTGGTCTAGATGCTTTATCTGTAATTGAAAGTTATACACCGCTTCATTTTTATTAGCTTTTGTTTATCTGGGATAATCTTAATTTTCCCCTTCATTTATGGGAAGGGTTGGGTTTTAAGGTCTTAAATTTATTTTATTAGTTCTTTGAGAGTTTTTGGTTTTATACAAGTGATATATCATATTTGCCCTCCCCTACCTCTTCCAAAATTCACTTCACTTTGTCCCCCACTGAACTTCGTGCCCCCTCTTTTTTAAAGAAAATAAAACAGCCCCCTTGAAGACCAGTTTGTGCTGCCCAGATATTCTTGGCTGTGTGGTCTTCCCCTGGAGCATGGTCAGCTTAGCAGGAGATGTACTCTTAGAAGACCGGCTCCTCTTCCTCCAGTACCTAACAGTTGTCATTTGCTTCACTGCTAGGGGCGACATTGCGTGTCCACCTTCCCTCTCCATGCTGAGCTTCGATCTGGCACAGGTTCTGTACACACTGTCACAGTCGTTGTGAGTTCATAGTGCAGCTGTTGTGCTGTGTCCTGAAGATGTTTCTCTGTAGTCATCCACGTCTTCTGGCTCTGACACTCTGCTCCCTTTTCTGCAGTGATCCCGGAGTCTTGGGGTGTTTGTGTGTGCGAAGGATATAACTTCCCACTGGGGCTGAGAAGTCGCTTACTCCCGACATGTTGGTCAGCTTTGGGCCCTGTGTTAACCACCATCTACTGCAAATGGGAGGGAGCTTCAGTTGGGGTTCAGCAATGCATTGACATTGAGTCCCCACTTAGACTTCCTTTCATTTTTGCACGGTGGGTCAGCGGGTAGTTCTTGGATGGTAGTTGTTTCTGTAGCCCCTCACCTTTCTGCCCGTTGCTTCTATGAGAAATTGGTTATTGATGCCCCATTGTGTGAAATGAGTTGTTTTTCTCTCGCTGCCTTTAAGATTTTTCTCCTTTGCATTTGATGATTTGATTTTAATCTGTCTGTTAAATCTGGTTCAGTCTATCTTCTTAGAGTTCTTTGAGCTGCTTGGATGTGTATGTCTTTCATCAAATTTGGTAAATTTCTGTCTGTTTTTCCTGAAATACTTTTCTCCCCCTTTCTCTTCTTGCAGGACTCCCATATTTGTGTGTTGATAACGTAAATGATGCCGCACGGCTCTCCTAAGCTGCCATTGTTGCTTATTTTATCTGGTTAGTTATTCTTTTCAGTTGAGCTTCTCATTTGGACTCAGTCGTCCTGGCTTCAGGCCTGCCCCTTCTCTTTTGTGCTCAGACCTCCTGCAGGCCCTCCCCAGATGTTTAGTTCCCATTCCTGTGCTCTGCAGTATTTCTACCCAGTTTCCTTACAGAGCAGTCTTCAGAAGTGAGGTTCCCGGTCCAGTCATACATTCTCATCCTGGTTTTATTTTGTTGTCTGTGAGTTCTTAGGCAGTCTGCCAGTAAGCCCAATGCTTGCACTTCTTCCTGGATAGTTCTATCAATTTTGTTTCCCTCCTTGAGGGAGGGAATACCTTCTGTTTCATTGTGTACTTCACAGTTTCCTGTTGAGAGCAGATAAGAATGCAGTAACCCTGGAAGTCAGGTTCTCTGGAGTGTAGCTATCTTTCTTAGTGTGTGATTTTTACAAGGACTGTGTTCCCTGTGTATAATCATTGAAAACTCTTTCTGATGTCTCTGTCAGCTAACTATCTGGGTCCAGTAAGAGAAAGGAATGTTGCTGTCATTCATTTCTTTAAGGAATCTGCATGGGAAGCCCTTCAACCCTGAGAGGGTTGAGTCGATGGTCAGCCTCTGTCCTGGTCACTCACTGAACAGTCAGGTAAATCAGAACACATGTCTTCACATTGTAGAGGACTTGTCTCCACCCTCGCTCCAGCAGGCTACTCTAGGAAACAAGCCATTCTCCATGGCTGCCTGCCAGATGGAGCCTGGATGTTTGATGTTCGAATCTTAGATGGTCTTTTAATAAAAAAACTCAGAGCCAGATACCAGGGTGAAAGCTGAAAGATCAGAGAAGCAGAGCAGCCAGCCACTAGTTCTTACCTCTACAAAATCTTCAGCCTAAATAGAGTGAGTTCCTGTTTCCTCATGCCTTATATACCTTTCTCTGCCCTACCATATTACTTCCTGGGATTAAAGGTGTGTGTGCTTTCCAAGCAAAGGCATAAGATCTCAAGTGCTGGCATTAAAGGTGTGTGCCACTGCTGCCTGACCTCTATGTCTAATCTAGTGGCTAGCTCTGTCCTCTGATCCTCAGGCAAGTTTATTAGGGTACACAATATATCACCACAGATGTTGGAAGTTACTGAATGCTGGAATTCAGTGCCACCCCCTCCCCGTCTTGTTCCTAGTTCAGTATTTCTCCAGGTGCTGAAAACATGTAGTAGACCTCAGAATTTGAAATAATTGATTTTAACAGTTCTTGTCAACTCAGTAGTTGATTTGGTTGAGGGACTGATTTTTCAGTGTGTTTTATCCCAACATCTTCTAGGATATCACTCCTGTATTGATTTCTTTAATTTAAAAGGTGTTTTGTGTGTGTGTGTGTGTGTGTGTGTGTGTGTGTGTGTGTGTGTGTGTACACATGCCTGTGTACCTGGAAAACCTGTTTCTTGAGATAAAGGCCTGGCTTACAAGATGTGAACGTAACTGTCGTATCCTCTTCCTGTCACATGTTAAATATTATTTTATGTGATATCTGTACTTTCTTTGTAGAGCAGTTTCTCTGTGTTCACTAGTAAAGACCTACGATTCCCTAGAACAGTGGATGCTTCCAGGTCACTAGTGCAAAGGCCAGGTACTTGGAAAGACAAAACAATAAAGTGAAAACCATTTTCAAAAACTCTCATGGTAGATGTATGCATTCATACGTGAGGGTGGCATTTTGAGGGTTATGTAATTGTGAGTGAGTGTACAGCACCCTTAAATTTAAGGACTGCAACTACATTGTATGGATTCCTCAAAGAATCTATAAAACTATTTTCTAAAATGTGTGGAATATAGGATTTTTAGATGGGCTTGTGTAGTATACATCTCTATCTATTATACCTGTCATGAATCTGTACATATATAATATTAAAAAGTTTGAGCCGGGCAGTAGTGGCGCACGCCTTTAATTCCAGCACTCGGGAGGCAGAGCCAGGTAGATCTCCGTGAGTTCGAGGCCAGCCTGGTCTGCAGAGCGAGATCCAGGACAGGCACCAAAACTACACAGAGAAACCCTGTCTCAGAAAAAAAGAAAAAAAACCGTTTGATTTCTGTGTATTACTATCTTTGCATGACTCCAAATGCTGTGATTTCATGTATACATTTTCCTCTGTTGTAGGACAGTTCGTGTTTGGTTAAAGAGGGACAGTGGACAATACTGGCCAAGCATATACCATGCAATGCCTTGTAAGTATCTTGGTCTCCTGAGAACCCAGATCTTTACCCCGATGGCCCTTCCTTCCCTGTTTACCTTTTTTGTATATTTTTCTTGAGTAACTAAGACTAAAGGTTGGGGATCTCATTAAACCGAAAAGTCCCAGATTAAATAATTCTGTAGTTTTCTAGGCTCTCACGGTGAAAAGTAAGATATGGTTTGGAAATTGACTCTATATTCATAGGTTCTGAGTGAGAGGAATGGAAAAAGACACAGCCTCTCTGATGACAGCAGTCTCCCTCCTCTTTCTAACTTTGCTTTAACTTTGGAATCTGTGTCCTTAGACAATTTAGGGTTTTGTCGGGTGGTTACATTTATGGAGTAAATTTGTCCTTATATTATTGTTAAAGCATCTTTTCAAAATTCAAGACATTCAGCATTGAGCATTCAGTTCTCAAAGATTTGCTTAGGCTTGAAACATTCTAATTAGAAGTGGGTCTCATTTCGCCAAGCTCTTTCCGAAGAAATATGTCCTTATACTGATGGGTACAAGAGTTGGACCAACCATGCCGTCATCAGCATAAGCCGTCATCAGCATAAGCCGTCAAGGCAGTAGTGGACTCAAATCAAGGGCCAGTTTTCCCCTCTGGGAGACCATAGAGCTGAAAGAGAAAGGGGAGGAGAGGACAGGAAAGCAGAGAATTTCCCAGATCGTTCCTCTAGAGATTTCATTCTTTAAAATTAATGAGGTTTATTCTGTTTGTTTTGGTGTAAAATAATTGTTTGAATTTATTATAGTAAACATTTTTTTCTTTTCTTTTTTGTTAAGATAGGGTCTCACTGTGTGCCTTGCCTGGTCTAGAACTTGCTATGTAGACCAGGTTGGCCTTGAACTCGCAGAGGTCCGTCTGCTTTTGTCTCCCCCTATATCCCCACTGTGGGGGGTGGAGTACTGGGATTAAAGGCCTGTGCAACCATGCCTGGCGTCCATTTAATCTTAGTTAAAGTTGGCATTGTAGAAAAATCTCCCTGGTTTGTTAGGACTCACACGATCTTTGGCTATCTGTAGTGTGTGTCTCATTCCTTCAGAGGTATCCCACCTTCAGAAGTACATGACACTGTGCCAAGCCAAAGTAGGTTCTAGGTGATTTTGTTTATGCCTCTAGCAGAAGAGTTTGCCTGTTGATGACTGAATGATTTATTTTTTGTAATTTTTATATAGTATATTTTGATTGTGTTCTCCACAACTCATCCTAGATCCTCCTCACCTCCCTACTGACCCAAATTCGTGTTTTCTCTGTTTCAAGAAACAGAACCAAAACAACCCCCAAATGAAAATCAAAACAAACAAACCCCACTAAGACCCAAAGTGGAAAAAGAAAACAAATAACCCCCTCCCCACTTACCCACACATAAAACAAAACTTAACTCATGGAGTTCATTGTGTTGGCCAAGTACTACTGGACATGGGCCTGCCCTAGAGTTGATATATGCAGTGATAAATCCATTGGAAAAACCTGATTTTCCTTTTCCTCACAGGTATTAATTGTAAATAGCTTCCTGGTGAGTGGTGGGACTTCGTGTCTTCTTGCCTTCTGGGATTTGGCTGGCTTGAATCTGTGCAGGGCTTGTTTGTGCTGCTAGTCTCTTTGAGTTCATAAGTGAATTGGTCTCGTTGTGTCAGCAAGACACTGTTTCTTTGGGGTCACCCATCACCTCTGTCTCTTATACTCTTTCCACTTCCTCTTCTGTATAGATACCTGAGAACTGAGGGTAGGGGTTGATGAGTACATCCCATTTAGGACTGAGTGCTCCAAAGTCTCTCACACTAGGCACACTGTCCAGTTGTAGATCCCGGTTAATTACCATCTACTGCAAGAAAAAGCTTCTATGGGCATACCAGTATGTCATTTGGAGATATTTTATGTTATGTTCCTTTATTAGAATAATAGTAGTAGGATTTCCCTTGGGCCCATGACCTATCCAGTCTCAGGTGTTTGGCCACATTAGCAGTGTCAGGGATGGGTTCCATCTCATGAGTGGGCCTCAAACCCAATTAAAAAAAGTTCTTGGTTACTCTCATAACATTCATGCCGTGGTTGTACCAGTATATATTTGTTGCTATTATAGTCAGTGATATTGATGATTCCTTTTTCCTCTGGTAGTGTGCAGAGTACCTTTTAATACCACGAGTACTAGTCAGTAGGGGGAAAGCTTCTAGTTGGGTAACACCTCAACTTCTCTATGTTCTATGACTTAAGTGTTGTTTTCAGCAATAGTCTTCATCAGGTTGTGGAGAACAACCATTAGACCTGGTAGTAGCCAGTGATGTGGGGGGCGGGGGTGGGGTGGGGTTCATGACACCACTTTGGCCAGTAACTCAACAAGATTCCTGGTATGGGAGGTTTTATTTAGTGGCATAAAATGTCTAGTTAGGACAATTGCCTCCTCTGTTATGAGATGACGCCATTTGAATTTTTTTCCATTCACATATATATGGTTGTAGGTTTCTGTGTGGTTTTTCAAAAAGCCTTTATTATGAATTATCCTTCCCCATATTCCTTTCTTTACCTTGCTCTCCCATCCTACTCTCCACTTGGTCCTTCTTTTCTAGTTTCCCCTTTATCTCTTTGTAACACTGTACTCTATTTTCCCTTCACTGGAAGATCTACTTCTGTTCCTCCCTAGTGCCTTACTAGGTACCTAACATCTGTGGTTATTTGGATTGAAACACATATCTAAAGGTTAAAAGCTAACATCTATGTATAAAAGAAGTAATGCAATATATGATTTTTTTGGGGGGGGGGTCTGGGTTACCTCACTCAGGAAGATTGTTTCTACCTGCATTCATTTATTTGCAAATTTCATTTTTCTTAATAGCTAAATAGTATTCTATTGTATAAATGTACCACATGTGTTTGTCAGTTGATGGACATCTAGCTGTTTTCAGTTTCTGGCTATTATGAGTATAGCAGCAATGAACATGGATGAGCAAATATGTCAGGAGTAGGATGTAGAGACCTTTAAGAATATGCCCAAGAATGATATAGCTGGTTTTTGTGGAAGATTGATTGTCAGCTTTTTAAGGAACCTCCACACTGATTTCCATGGTGGTTGTACAAATTTGCATTCTCACTAGCAATGAATAAGTGTTCCCTTTTCCCCAAATCCTTACCAGCATGAGCTGTCATTTGTTTCATTTATCTTGGCCATTCTGAGTTCAGGGTAAGATGAAATGTCAAAATAGTTTTAATTTGCATTCCTCTGATGGCTAAAGATGTCAAACATTACTTTAAATATTTCTCAGCCACTAAACGTTTCATCTTTTGAGAACTCTGTTTAGTTCTTGTGATGAAAATGGCCTCCATAGGCTCACAGGGAGTGGCATGATTTGGAGGTGTGGCCTTGTTGGAGGAAGTGTGTCACTGGGGGTTGGCTTTGAGGTTTCAGAATCTCAAGCCAGGCACAGTTGCTTACTCTTCTTCTTGCTGACTGCTGATTCAGATGTAGAACTCTCTGCTTCCTCTCCAGCACCATGTCTGCCTGAGTGCTGCCATGCTTTCTGCCATGATGATAATGGACTAAACCTCTGAATCTTTAAGCCAGCCCCAGTTAAATGTTTTCCTTCATGAGAGTTGTTGTGGTTATAGTGTCTCTTCACAGCAAGAGGAGCCCTTAACTAAGGCAGTTCTGTACCCCATTTTTACACTGGCTTGTTTTCTTGATGTCCAGTTGTTTTAGTTCTTTATATATTGTAGATAATAACCCTCTATTAGGTGTATAATTTGCAAATTTTATTTTTTTTAACAGCTAAGTAGTATTCTATTGTATCAATGCACCACATTTGTTTGTCCGTTGATGGACATCTAGCTGTTTTCAGTTTCTGGCTATTATGAGTATAGCAGCAATGAGCATGGATGAGCAAGTATGTTCATTTGTCCAAATGAACTGCTGCTTTGTTCAAATGATGGTGTCCTTTGCCGTACAGAACCTATTCACTTTCATGAGGTATCAATTATTAATTGTTGATCTTAATGCCTACAGTATTGATGTCCTGATCAGAAAGTCCATTCCTGTGATAATAATGAGTTCAAGCCTATTCCTATTTTCTCTTCTACCAAATTCAGGGTATCTGGTGTTATGGTGATGTCCTTGATTTTGGAGTTGAGTTTTGTTCTGGGTGATAAATATGGATCTATTTGCATTCTTCTACATGCAGCCACCCAACTTGACTACCTAGCATCATTTGTTGAAGATGCTGTCTTTTCTCCAGTGTGTATTTCTGTCTTCTTTGTCAAAAATCAGGTGTGTGGTTTTGTTTGGGTCTTTGATTCAATTCCATTGATCAATGTGTCTATTTTTATGCCAGTATCATGCTATTTTTATTGCTATAGTTCCATGGTACATCTTGAAATCAGGAGTGATGACACCTCCAGCAGTTATTTTATTATTTGAGTTTTTGTTTTGTTTTGTTTTTTCAAGACAGGGTTTCTCTGTGTAACAGCCCTGTCTGTCCTGGATGGAACTCACTCTGGAGACCAGACTGGCCTCAAACTCAGAGATCTGCCTGCCTTCTGCCTCCTGAGTGCTGGGATTAAAGGCGCTGAGATTATTTTAGCTGTTATGTTTTCTTTTCTTCTTTTTTTGTGTATATGTTTTCCATATGAAGTTGAAGATTGTCATTTTAGTTTCTGTGAAGAATTATGGAATTTCGATGAGAACTGCATTGAATCTGTAGATTGCTTTGGTAGAATGGCCATTTTAAAAGCATTAATCCTCCTAATCCATGAGCATGGGAGATCTTTACATCTTCTGGTGTCTTAATCAATTTCTTCAGTGTCTTAAAGTTTTTATTATACAAGTCTTTCATTTGCTTGGTTAGAGTTATCCACATATACAGCTATTGTGAAAGGCACTGTTTCCTTGATTTTTTTCCCAGTATGTTTTTCATTTGTATCAAGGAAGGCTACTTAATTTTATGTGTTAATTTTCTACTCTACTTTGTTGAAAATGTTTATCAGATGTAGAAGTT